TTTCCTTGTTTCTTTCTTGGGACCCAACTAAGGACAGACAGTTTACGTATTAGCAGGGGAATTCATAAATCCCGTACAATTGCCATCGGGAAGATTCCCTTCTCTCTCTCTCTAAAGGGTGATAGAATGTGGTAATCCTTTGATCTTTGGGGTCCACAAAATGCCATTTTAAAGGTTAAACAGCTTGGCTAACAAGCTATTTGGCTTTAAGTGTTCCATAAGTCTCGGGGTTTTTTATGTATTTGTCAGGTAGGGTAGGTAACATTAGTTAGTAATAAAGTCAGATTTCAACATCCCAAATTCTAATTACAAAAAGGGTTAAGGGTGAATCACATGCACATCTCAGCGTGCATTGATAACATCTCTCAAATGGGGAAATGTTTTCAATATACGACTGGGATGGGATGGGATGTGGGGTGCCCATGTGAATTCACGGGGAAAAGGATTACCTCGAGCAGAGTAAAAATCATCATGAAAAGAGCTGTCTTAAGTAGATGATAATTAGAGTAAATCTAATATTTTACTAGTAGTGTGTGTTTAGTAGATTTCATTTAAGTCAATCTTTGATTTTAATTATTTTACAATTTGCACTTGGTTAAGCATGAAAGCAGGGGACAAAGTTACAATCATGCGAGTCCCTATTCAGTGGGCTTGGTTATGGAGATAGCTCTATTCAGTGGGCTTGATACTTCATGTGACAGACAGAAACTCGGCCCTTGCACAGGAGCAGTTTCCATGATTCGAGAACAATAAACAGAGACGAATGCCCTAGAAGCACTTCCAGACTTCCTACTGATTGATATTTGTTTCTTTTGTCAGAAATTCTGAATACTAGTCTTTTATTTATTTTATCAGTAAATGCAAGTCATTATTTTTGCTTCATTCCTTTTTTTTTTCTTTTTTTTTATGCTCAAAACTTAAATTATTAATAATGTCAACTGAGACCCGTCTTGGAAGTTGTAACCTATGTGAGGCAAACCCAAGAGACAGGCTCCAAAATTCAAATTGATGATTTTGGTTGGGGTACCAAATTTATCTAACTTCACCATTTGGCATCTTTGGATGAAGGTTCAAATTTGGCAGCTTGATCCGTTCAGATCTTACTCCCAATCCCTTAACCTTGTAGAAAGCAGAATGCCCTCAATCCATTAATCAGTCAAAGAGGAACGGGACCTATGTATATGCACCATGGTGCCACCATATACACATGCTACCAAGGATTAAGGTATCATATATGATACTCCTGATAAAGGGCGTATCGTATTTGTATCTATGATCATGGATACAGGACACGTTACGATTGAATATGTATCTCATGAGTCATGTGTATCGGTATAATACGCCTCTGTATTGGACTGTATCACACCGTATCGGTGGATACGGTCCAACACACACCGATACAGAGGCGTATTCGTGTCTAGTTTGACAAAAGTGTACATTGACTACTTTTAGATTGTTTTTCATCTTTAATACAAGTTAAAAAATAGTACTATGAAAACTAAAATAAATAATTTAAAATTTATTTTTTCCAAAAAAATTAATAAAAACTAAAAATTATAAAATAATATATTTCATCTACCTTGGATGATTTATATATTTTATTTTACACATATATGTTAAAAATGAAAACATACTTATTATTTGAAAAAATAGAGTTATTATATACAAATACTAAATAAATAAATTTTCCCAACAAAACTAATGGAAAACAGAATATTATAATTATAAAAACTGAAATGAATAATTTAAGATTTAAATTTCCAAAAAATTTAATAAAAACTGAAAATTAAATATAATTTATTTTATCTACCTTAAATGATTTATTTGTTTTATTTTACAATTATGTGTAAAATAAAAATATTACATGTTAAAAATGAAAACATATTCATTATTTAAAAAATAGTTGTTATTTAAATAAAAACTAAATTAATAAATATTCCCAAAAATTAATAAAAATAAAAAATTGTAATTATAAAATTGAAAGTGATAATTATCGTACAATGTTTGAATGTTCTAGAGTCTCGGTATTGTTTATTGTAATATTTCTCTTCATATAACCTATTGAAGTATCCAGTTCTCATGTGTTTATATTTTATTAATAAATAATTCAGCTTTTGGTTTAGTGTTATTAATGTATTTATGTGATTTATATGCATTTCCCTAATGTATCAAAGCGTTTCTATATCTTTAGTTAGTATCTATGCGTTTCCAAAGCGTGTCTGTATCCATATCCAACTTATTTGATACAATACCTGATACCGATACTTTGATCATTGCATGCTACATATATATACCATAAGATTCAACAGGAAGTATCCACTTTTTTTTTTTTTTCTTTTGATAGGTCAACAGGAAGAATTTCTCGTACCTGAGATTTGCAAAGGTTTCCCTCAGGGACCATGGACCATAGTGTAGTTGTGTAGTCAGCAAATCAACATGGTTTTTAAATTTCCTTTTTTTTCTTGTATAAATTGTCTTATTTACAATCAAGGTTCAAAGTATCAATACATATCGGCTGATATGTATCGTATTGGGGGCTTCCCGATACACTCTTACAAGGGGTGTTTCAGGGTCCCGACTAGTTGAGAGGGTGGACGGATCTTAAATCAGCCCCTCTGAACTAGATTCGGAAAAAAAAAAGACTAAAACGATAAAAAGACTACCAATACTGCCCAATACACCACTACCGACGTATCGAACGTATCGATATTTTGAACCTTGCTTACAATAATGATGAGACAGCCATCTTTACATGTTTTGTTCAAGCATTAATTATGGCAATACCAGATCTAGATATTTATTACTAATATTACGTGGAAGCACCCTCGGGAACCCAAATTGTAAAATTGTTTTGATTTTCTTTTCTTGTTATTTTATGAGAATTTTAGTCATTTTATTTGATACTATATTGATATATTACATTAACATAGGGGTGGGTGATCATGTAATAAATCAAGGCTGTCCAAATTTTCGATTGTTCTCTTAATCTTTTTATTTTTGTATACTTTTTTTGCGTTGTTTTTCTCTTTTAATTCTAGGATGCTCTATTGCATTTTCTTACGCCACATTTGTATCATCATTTTCATCAATTATGCATCACTGCCTTTTTCCTTTTCTTCTGAAGGGCATGTTGGTCCTTTAACTTTCATTAATCTTAACAAGGAAGTGAGGAACCATGTCCAATAGGTTTCCATTTTTAACGTCTTTTCCTTTGTAATTTTGGATTCTTGCTATCCTTTTTTTAGTATTTCTTATCCCTATGATTGTTGAGTTTTCTTTTTTGAATTATGTCATGTTATTAAGAGAACTTTGATCCTTTTATGATAAAATCAACATGGAGCCATTCTGAAATCTGACATAAGGCGGCACGCCCAGTCACTTGTTATTACTTTGAAGAATGTTCTTTGAAGGAGCCTGGAAGTATATCCCCAACTGGTGATAGAACCAAAATTTGAAATTTTGATGTGTTTCGGAGTTTAACCCAGTTCAGAGGGTAAACAGGCCTTAAACCTACCTTCTAAACCAGGTTTTAAAAAAACTAAAAAAATAGGGGAATGAGCCCCGATACAGTCCAATACACTCCTACTGACGTATCCATACTTTGAACTTTGGATAGAACAAGGGAAAGCAAACTGAGATTGTTTGGTCATGTACAAGCACCCATAAGACGTGATCTGTGGGACTAGAGGAACTGGGGCAGACCGAAAAGGACATGTATTAAAGTAGTAAAAAATGATTCAAGGGCTCATAATTGATAATTTAACGAACATGGCACTAAACATAATAGAATGTTGAAACAGGATTCATATAACCAAACCCCATGTAGCTAGGAGCAAAGTTTTTAAAACCAAATTGGACAACAAACCATTCAGGGGTCCGGTTCCCAGGTCGAACAGTCCAACCATTTGAACCGAATGGATGCCCATCTGACTAAAAAAAATAAACAAAAATCACTTTACAGTTCAAACGGTTTGACTGCCTGAATCAGCGGTTTAGTGACCAAATCAATAACTTTTGGCTAAAAAGGCAGTTCTGGGGTAAAACATAACTGGTCATAACTGGTCAGGTGACTGGTTCCTGGTTTTTCCAGCCCAACCATCCCATTCAGTCCGATTTTGAAAACCATGGCTAGGAGTTAGGATGATAATGGTGATACTTTTTGTTCTGTCGTGGAAACAAAAAACACATGATCAAAAACATGTTTTCTGTGATTATTGTTTTTGAGAATCAATTTATTTTCAAACAAGATATTTTTTTATTTATGTTTACGACTCAACAAGAAAAATAATTCACATTGAAGAAAACTCCACAAGTTTGCTTTCTTTTTCTCAACGCTCTCCCATGGCAATGGCAACAGGTGAAAGCTAGGACCAATTTGTTGAGAAGCAAGGAAATTATTACATGCAAACAGTAGAGAATGAAAAGATGTTTATTTGATAATTTGATTCAAGGAGAGAAGATTGATTGGTTAACGTAATTGGCAAGTCTACGATGACTAACTCGTAATAAATCACAAAGCTAGTCTATGAGAGAACTCTAGGTAACAAACTTGTACATATTTCATTGATCAAAAGCCGCAAAGAGAACCTTCAAGCAGTCTCAGTTATAGTACGTACCAACAAGAGCAATCAGTAGAAACACGATGCTGGTCACAAACAAAAGTCATAGAAGGAAACTGGCCAGTTCCTAGCAAATCATACAAACATGGAGACTTGGCTGATGGAAGGAAATCCATTCATCCTCGCTGTTGAATAAGTTCCATGTCAGAAATTTGTTTATTAATCCCTAACATTATGATAACTTGCACCTACAACTCTAGGTAAAGTAGGCCATTACCCAATGTCAGTCCCTGCTATGGGTCTTGCGAGGATAAACTGGGTACAGTCCTCAGACTTGAACCTGTGTTTTCACCCTAGCAAGCCCGAGATTTTACCATTAAAACTCTAGGTAGGCTTCGAAAAACAAAAAGAACTATTAAATTTTATTTGTATACCTCCTGATAAATGGTAACACGTTAACCATCAAATATCATAGATGAGATGAATCAGAAAAGTAATAGCCTGCAAGTTCCAGAGGGATTTAAACGTTACTTGTAATGCTTGCTTTCAAATTATCACTACAGGGTTACAAATATGTCAAATATTGCAGCCTCATATTCCTCACCAAAGAACAGGTCATCTTGGATTGTCTGACATGAACCTGCAACAAAGACAACGGAAAGACATCAACCCTTCAGTTCGAAGGAAGCAGCACCACCTTCAAAGATATGTGGCATAGAATCATTCTATGCCTAGGACCAATCCTACCACTTAAACTCTTTCCGTCTGTTTTTTCTATTTTGGATGTTATACATGTGGCAATGTTATTTGCAAAAATGACAGACAACTGATCAAAATGTTCGTTTCTTCTGCAATATTTTTTTATGCAATTGGAATATTCCTCCTATTAGCAGAAATAAGTCAATAACTAAATTACAAAAGTAACATAGCAGGCAAAACGAACCCCAGACCTTTGATAAGTAACCAAACAGCTACAAAAGCAGACCTGTCAGGGAGTCGATCAAGGTTTTTAAAACCGGACCGGATAGGGAACCATACTGGGGTCTGGTTTTCAGGTCAAACGGTCCGACTGGATGGCCGCTCTGACAAAAAAAAAATTAAAAAACCCAGGTCAGCAGTTCGCTGACCAAATCAACAGTTTTTGGCCAAATAGCGGTTTTGGGGTAAAACGGAACCTGTCAGGTGACCAGTTTCCGGTTTTGAAAACCATGGAGTCAATTATACAAATGCCCTTGCGCAAACAACTACTTAACGTGCAATGGTACATAATGTTCCTGTGGCAAATATCATCACAATATTTTGTAGTATGGGCAAACACAAATAGCCATCTAAAAGGTGAGCACATGGCAACATTAAACATGTACGTTTGAATAATCAAGACATGTGCCGTGTGGACAAAGAAAAATAGCTATCTAGAGTAAAGAGTAAAGGCAAGCACATATCAAAACTTAATCATGTACCTTTATACAAATGCCTTGAAGTACCACTTAAGTCAGATCACAGGCTACACCTGATTTGTAATTAATATATCTACCAAGATCACAGGCTACACCTGATTTGTAATTAATATCTACCAAGGTATAAAACATAAGTTGCCACACGTCCAGGAAAACTGAGTATTTCTAAAAAACCGGATGGATAATGTTCGTTGCAAAGACCATGTATAAGTTTATTCATGGCCAATCAAAATGACTCCCCTACTAAAATAGATGCTACCAATTGGCAACAAACCCAGGGACCCCCACAAAAGGGCCAAAAATTGCTAAGACCCACATCAAACGTTCCAACAACACCCCCACGGAGGAGGCCAGACATGCTAATACTCCACCACACAATTGAGAAAACCCTTCTCCACTGAAACCTGTCTCTCTTCTTCACCGAGAAAACTCCTTTCTCACATAGAATCCAAATTTAAAATCAGTTTACATCTAGAGGAGTAATCCTACCCAAATCTAATTGGCATTCAACCTAGGGAAATAATTCAGAACACTGACAAGGATTAAAATCAACCATGAATTACAAATCATAGATCAAGCTGCCAAATCAGAAAACATTTGATGTTATCATAAACCTTTGTATCAGCTTAGTACACTAACTTGAATACACAAGAACCACTAAAATCCACCTGAATAAAGAACTGGGCCTTCCCATCTGATACTACCATAGAGGCTAATGATAGACAAATTCAAAGTCAGAAACAAAAATCAAATTCTCATTATCAGATCCTTAAATCTCACCTGAAAGCTGTCAACCATAACAATGAGCTATACCAAAGTCAATTCAAGGCAGAGTACACTCTTCAATTACAGCCTTCCAATCCCTCATAACCATCCATGATGAACAAATATCATTATGATTATTTATTTCTCCAGTGCACCTACCCAATCACCACTGCTTTTGATTCAAATCCCCCCACCCCTGCACTAAAAAAATGTCTGAATCATTGTACATGGACTTATCTAATTGGGGTGGAGAAGAATATGCAAGAAAAGCATTTAAGAAACTGGAAGAAGGAAAGAGAAGAATACTTTTCCTTGGGGTGGGGGTCAGTGTCTATTGTTGCTCGAGTTTTGGATGCAGGGAGTTGGAGTTTCAGGACTGTGGGTTGCTAAGACAGATATAGAAGGTGCAAGGTGGACCAAGGGGATTGTTGAGCAGTAGTGGTTACAGACAGATTTGGCCATGTTTTATATACTGTTTATAGAGTATGTTAGAGTTCATTGGGCAACAGGGTATTAATTTTTCTTTTCTTTTATTGCGAGTGCTCCTGTCCTCATTTTACACTAAACAAAGGCATTATTGTAAACACAGCTAATTATACTCAATATAAATGCCCAGCAGTTATATGGGTTTTTCTCTTCTATTGCATTCCAGGTTCTGTTTTCTCCCCTCTTCACTACAATTCTTTGTTCTACTTATTTCATGGTATCAGAGCAAGATCAAGGTAGATCCATCAATATTCTTCCCTTCTTTCTCTTGAACCTCCAATCAAATTTTCTTTTATTGGTCTCTCTCTCTCTCTCTCTCTCTCTCTCTCTCTCTCTTTTCTTCTAAGAACTCCACTTTTCAGTTTTGTAATGGTGATTAGTGATGGCAGTGACCATCACCATTGTTTGTGAGCTGCTTCTGCTGTGAGTGTCACCCTTGATTTGGCTAGACCAAGAGGGGGTGTGGTGATTTCTGGCTTGTGAAGAGTTAAATAAAGGTATTATGATTGCTGCTGCTGTGTGATGATTGTTTGATGCATTCTTTATATGGAAGCTGCTGCTGTAATCTCCTTAAATTTTCAGGTGAGTTCTTGAAGTTGTGTTAAAAATTGGGCATTTCTTCCCATTGTGAGAGACCTTGTTGGATTGTAGATAAATCTAATTTGAGATGTCCTACCAGATCCGTTACATTGAAAAGAGTGAGAAAATATGGATTCCAAGGTTGCTGTTATGGTGTCTCCTGAGTTTCTCCCTATTCAAATGAGTTCCATTAAACTTAAATGGAATTAACTATGCTATTTGGGCAAAGTCCGTTGAGGTTTTCCTTACTGCCAAAGGAAATTAAGTAGTTGACTGATAAGAAACCAGAAAGAAGGCATCTCTACCTACTGATTGGGTGAAACAAGAGCTCAAATTAAAACCTGGTTGTGGAACTCTATGCAACTGAAAATAAGTAGTGGACTGATAATCCTTGATGCATCAAAACATATATGGGAACAGGTGGAAAAGATGTATTCTGGTAATAATAATATTACAAGGATACACAAGATGCATTGTGGTAGTAATAATATTACTAGTTTATCTGACTGATCTGCCCTGGTGGCAGTGATTTAAAAGGCACGTCTAGGTGCACAGGCAAGGTGCATTTTAGGGTATGTGCTTTGCCTAGGTCCTAGGTGCAGCCTTGCGCCTCACCCCAAGCATGTGCCTTTTGAAAATTTGACGCTTTTTTGCTTTTTTCAAATCTAGCAGCTAGGCCAGGGGCTCCGCCCCCGGACCCCTGTTCTGGTTCACTCGCTTTGCTCGCTCACCAAAGCTCCAAGAAACCCCTATTTGGTAATGTTGCCCATTCATTCATCCTAATAATCTTCTTAAAAAGCAATTAAAATTATAAAATCATTATTGATTTTAATCTAATGAATTCCAGTTATTGATAAAAAACAATATAAAATCATTATTTTTGTGTGAGAACTTAGAATTTAAGACCCTAACATGATCTTGTTTGGGCTTGCCTCGAAGGGCGTGGCACAAAGGCGTAGAACCAGGAATGCAATATGTTTTACATCACATTAGAGCTACTTGAAGTAATGCAATTAAGGAAAAAAAGAGATTGTGGGTTTTACATGCTTGAAAATGTTTTATATGCTTGGCTTTATGTTTAAATTTTCATTTGAATACACTTTATATGTAATGTTTATGTATTTTAATTTTAGATAATAGGTTTTTTAAAATATAATTTTATATTTTTTATTAATACCTTTTTTTTTGCATTTTTTTGTATTTTTACGCCTTGCTTCAAAAAGACATGTGCCTTGCCTTATGCCTCAGGCACAAATTGGCCCCTGTGCCTTCTTTTAAAACACTGCTCTTAACTCCCCCAAATAGAAAGCCATAAAATGAATTACAATATAGCCCAAAAATTAGTGTTTCTTCCCACCCCCTGTTTAGCTAAAGCATCAGCCATGGAGTTGGCATCCCTCTTAACCAAATTCAGCTCGACATCCATTCCTTGAATCAAGTATCTAAATTTCCTTTTCTCATTCATGTAATCCCACCGTCCCCCTCTCCTCTTTTTGAAGCCAGCCAATAACCATCTTAGAACCCCCTTCAATTAATACCTTAATAAGGTTAAGCTCATTTGCTCTCTTGGCTCCTTCCATCACAGCAAGGATTTCTGCTCTTAATGAATCCTCAATACCAATGGGAGCAGAGAAAAGAACCACAAATTCGCCATCTTCATCTCCAAAAACACATCCAATACCTGAAGGTCTGGGGTTTCCTTCACTGCTACCATCAAAGTTCAGCTTGATGAAACCATTAGTAGGGGGAGACCAAGTAGGTACAACTAACTCCTTCAATGGCTCAGAATCAGCCACTTCTCTCCACTTCTTCCTCAAATCTACCACAGGAATTCCATCAAAAAGTTTCAAAGTTTTCATCCAATGAATCACCCTACCTGTAATGACTTCAATTAGAGCATCCATACTTCTTTCTTTGCCTTCGAACAGCCTTTGATTTCTCTCTTCCTAAACAGTCCAACAAACTGCAGCCCTTAAACATCTTCATAATGTTTTTCCCCTCTTCTTTTGCCAGCTAACAAAAGTAGGGTGAAACAGCCTTTGAACATTTGGGGTGGGGGGTGGGGGATCCACCTCCACTCAAACAAGGAAGAAGACCATTCCCAAACTGACTGTGTAAGGGGACAGGATATTAACAAGTGATGAATGGACAAGCAACAATTAGGTCTTTTCCTTTGAAGAAGCTCACAAATATTAATTCTATCCAAAAAAAATTCCGTACAGAAACCCCTAATCTTATGTGGAACAGGCTTACCCCAAACCTCTTTCGTCGGAAAAGGTTGGCCCCCAATGTCACATGGATTCAATAATGATAAAAGGAAAGAAGTGAAGATGCCTGGTGGGGAGAGAGTCCA